TCCCAAGAAGACCAAGAAAAATAGCTAGAGGAGAAAGGGCTTGTCATTTTGCCTGACAGAATACTTGAGTCTGGAAAGGAATGCCTTGGGGAATTTTAAAAAAACTCCATTTGGCCATCAAAATGTCCTCTATAATCTGACTCCAAGGGACCTGTTTGATCACATTTCCCTATCAATCACTAGATGGGAAATAAAAGCTTATAGTCCAAGGTTAATTCACAGTATGAGACCACAAGGTAAAGGTCTCAACAGTCAGTTGTTTCTCTGAAAATCCTTTACTCTTTCCCAGAGCTCAGAGACAGTCAAGCTGCTGTCTCCAGAGGGGACTCCTGCCTCTGCCTCTGTGCTTACTCCAGAACACACAGTCATTCAGAATCATAGCCTGGACTCTGTGAAATGTTCTCATCTTTCTGCTCAGGTCATGCAGAAGGAAAGTCATTGGCCGTCCACGATTTTCCCACAACCATGCTGGCATGATTCATGGCCATACCCTGGACCTCTGGTTCCCCTGAGTTGGAACGTCCTTTATGTCTACATGCTACTGCTTTGGGAATTTATTCATGACCAGTACCTCCAGTGTTTGTAATTCCCTAAAACACAGCAATTACCCAGACTTCCTCTGCACTGGGATTAAAGGCGTGGTGTCAGGAGGTAGAGGCAGTCAGATGTCTGTGAGTTCGAGGCCAGCTTGGTCTACATAGTGAGTTCCAGGATACTTAGGGATACATAGTGAGACACTGTGGCAAAAAACCAAAACCCCAAACCAAACCAAACCAAACCCAAATAGAAGAGCCTAAACACTAATCACCATGCACAGAGCTCCTTGTCTTCTGTCTGAGACTACAAACTTCCTGATAGCAGGACGCATGCCCAGCTCTTCTCCTCTTTCCCACACACTGACAGCCTGGCATGGAGAGGCTGCAATACCCGATATTTATAAAATGATAAATCCACACTAACTTTCTGTTTGGAGGATTACAAGCAGATAGCAACACACTGTACCCCGTCAGTGGCAAAGAAGCAAAGCCTTCCCATTGCTCCAGGGATTTGACTTTGGCAAGAGGCATCGGTTAGGGTAGATGAACTAGGGACCCAGAAAACATGTGAAAACCACAACTGTAGGGAACTTCCTGTTACTGTAGGAAGGGAGAGTGATCAGGAAGAAACTGTTTCCTGTCCCATCTCACCACTCAGTGTTTTGTAAAGGGATTAGAGAGAAAGGGAGGAAGAAGAAACTAAATTAGGGGAGACATTCATGTTTGAGTAAACCATTCAATTCCTGAAGCTGTCTTCTGGAATTGAGACTGGCTAATGGTGTAAACCTTTTTCCCTTTCACAAGTCCCTCTCTGGTTTCAGAACCAACAGTTCTGTGGATGCATTTTCTCATTCCTAGGGCTCATCTGATGCTCCACAACCACTCTTTCTGATTATAAGGCTTCCTGAGATGCCAGGGCTCTTGGGAATGCATACTCAAATGCTAGTGGATATTTGCAGCAGTAGGCATTGCTTTCTAGGCTTTTTCCCCCCTCTATTGTCTAATGCTTTCATGCATCCCTAACCTTCCCAGACACCAAATCCCAAGAGTTCTGTGAGACTGGAGGGCTAATTCTGCTTGTGTAATATGTGCAGCACCTCTGATGGCTTACTCTGTGAAGGCTGGCAGGACTGAAGGCAGGAACTGGAGTTGCCCTGTAGGAAAGACCTACAGACAAATCACTCAGCCCATTGCCAGTCTAGCATAAGCGCTTTGTAATCACTGTCCTCCTTTGAGTCTCTCAAGTGTCTAAGAAAGTAATCACCCAACATATACTACGCTGCCTGCTTTGTTTCGTTTGAGACAGGCTGGTCTGGAACTCACCATGTAGGACAAACTAGTTTTGAGTTCACGATCCTCTTGTCCCCCGAGTGCTGGAATTATAGGTGTGAGTCATCATGCCCGACTCATGACAAAGAGTTTCACTTTGCACTGGTCAAGGTTTCCAAAGAGAAGGACACGTATGAGCCCAGCTGGAGGGGGCCTCTGTTATTGCCACTCCAAGGAGAAACATAAGTAGATCTAATGTCTGTCATGAATCCAGTGTGGCTACATCATCAATGTAGTTTTTTGTAACCTACACTGCCACCCTATGGAATGGATGTTATTATTCCTAGTGTGTAGATGAAGAAACAGAAGCGCAGAGAAGAGAACTGTGTTACTCAATCGCCCTTGCTGATGAAACATCAGACTCTAGATTAATATAAGGGTTGCTAGAACTGGAAACCCATGCTTTTCCTGCCATGCCAAACTGCCTGGTCCTCCAGCAAATGTCTACCTGAGTGGACAGTGGGCTGGTCAGCTCTGATCACAGCACAGCACAGATGGGATGCAGAGGCCAGCACCATCTTGCTCTTAGTTCCTACTCTGGACTCTTTAGATACCTGGTGTCCATTAGCTTCCACGGAGTGAGACAGAACAAGGACTGGGCCTCCTGGTCAGGCCCTCGCTGTGAGCTGCAGTCCCAACACTGCCCAACTCCCTCCTGCTCTCCTCCCTCACTTACTTGGTGCTCAAAGTCAGCTGCCACTGGAGATCGTTCTAGAATGCAAGGCTGGCCATCTTGTTCCTCTCAGGACAGATCCCACCCGCCCGACTAGGTGTGGAAGGCTGAGGAGAGACCCTGAGTCCTGCACCACTCTTCCTGTCAGCCAGCGGCTTCTCTCATCATCATTTCCTTTGTGAAACTTAGGTCCAGTCATATTCACCACAGCTTCAGGACGTTTTTACTTACGCCTATAATCCCTCCACAGTAGGAGGAGACACGCTCTGCTCTCTCACCTGTGATCTCTTGACACTTGGTCCCCATTCAACTCTCTGCATCCTAGGGATTAATTTACACATCCTGTCTCCTCCAGGGATGTGTCATCATCTTTGAAGACACAGTGACGTGTGAGACAGCCCCCAGGCCAGTGAGCGTATATTCAGCTCCCATTTCCACAGTGATGTGCGAGACAGCCCCCAGGCCAGTGAGCGTATATTCAGCTCCCATTTCCACAGTGACATGGCAATGAACTGGCTTTGGTCGCAGAAAGCTAACGCAGGCTCAAAAGAGCTCATCTTTTGTAAACGACGAAATTCTCTACTTTGCAGTTTTGGAAGTCTAACTGTCCCGGAAATGCGGATGGGTCCGAAATGGAGCTGAAGAGCTAGAGGACAAGGTGATCTTGGGGCTTAGTCTCATTAGTCTTGGGAGTGATGCTCTTGTGCTTGGCTCTTAAACACCGATTTTTTAGGCGCTCTGCTCTGACATCAGAAAGCCCTGTCAGTGGAATCCGTATTCTTTGAGGCTGTCTTTGCTTTTGTTTTACAGTCTTGGAAGACTATGGTGGCCTAATAAGAGCTGAGCTTCCTACCCTGGACCAAAGACCAGGAAGAATTAGTCAGGCACATGACTGGCCTGGCCCCTAGAGGCACACAAATACGTCTAACTTTGGTTCACAGAAGTTGACCTGAGCAGATGCATGTCAGTAGTGCTTAGACAAGTGGTTTTCAGCCTTCCTAATGCTGTAACCTCTTAATTCAGTTCCTCAAGTTGTGGTGACCCCTAACCATAATATTATTTTTATTGCTACTTCATAACTATAATTTTGCAACTGTTATGACTGGTACTTATCTGATATACAGACAGTCTTAGGCAACCTCTGTGAAAGGGTCATTTGGTACCTCCCCCCAAGGGGTCATGACTCACAGGTTGAGAACCACTGAATCAGGCAGAGCAAGGCTGCATCAGAAAGGAGAGGCCAGCTGTGCTGAGGACACAATCAGTACTCCCTACCTATCTGGGAAATGTTTCCTCTAGTCAAAAGCATATCCAGTCTGAACTGGACCCTCAGCCAATCAGCCTAGCTGGGCTTGGGTCTGACCCAGAAGATGGGGATGAGCTTCAGATCCTGTCACTATCTCCCTAGGCTCTGGTATCACTGATTAAGATGCAACCTAATAAGACACTTCAAGGATGAGGGATGAAGGAGACCCAGAGCAACAGCACCTTCAAGGATGAGGGATGAAGGAGACCCAGAGCAGCAGTACATCCAGAGCACAGGGTGATGGGACAAGTAGGAGAGTAGAATAATACAGAAACTGAACATTTTTTATGTGTGTATTTTCATGGTGTGTGTGTGTGTGTGTGTGTGTGTGTGTGTGTGTGTGTGTGTGTGTGTGTGTGTAGGGGGCAGAGGACATCATTGGATCCTTGGGTATCTTCCTTAGGAATACCACCTACCCTCCCTGAGATAAGAGTTTCTCATTGGCCTGGAGCTCACCCAGTTAGGCAAGATTTGTTGGCCAGTGAGCCCTCAGGGATCCTCCTGTCTCCACCTCCTCAGTGCTGGGGTCACAGGCAAATGCCACCACATCCAGCTTCTTTATATGGGTTCTGGGGATTGAACTCAGGTCTTTGTGCTTGCCAGGCAAGTCCTTTACCACCCCAGCCATCTCCTCAGCCCCAGAAACCGAACCAGTTTTATACTTCCGTTTTTGAACGTTTTAAAAAGCCATGGATTTGAGTTGTTTTCATTTTTGACAAATAACACATTAATTCTCAACTCCCTCTCAATCAGGATTAGTAAGTGAAGCTATCTTCCATATGCCTGCAGTTCTTTACTTTAGGTCTCTAGGCAAGAACTGGGAAGGGGCCTATAGGAATAGCAGGGTGATTAAGATTATCTTCCTGGAAACCTTTTGTAAAAACAGCCTTGAAGCAGCCAGGCCAAAAGCTCAGCAGCAGAGCTCCAGAGCATTGGGTTTTGATGATAACTCAATAGTTCCAACCCTCTCTCCTTTACAAGCTCCTAGGAGTAAGTTGTGGACGCGTGCTTTCCTTATTTAAACTAGATCAAATTTGGTGGACTTCAGGAAAGGGGCAGTCATTTCCTAGTTAGCTGTACAGAAGCCCAGAAGCCACCTGGACACAGGCAAGAGAAAAGGGGACATGGTCGCTGACTTTCGGAAGCTGGCACTTACCTGTGATCATGCTCAGTGCTGACAGGCAGGCTAAGGCTTGGATATCAAGGTTCAGGCTCTGCAAATTTAAAGAAAAGTCTTTAATGGAGTCGAGCCACTCTCCAAATCCACGAAGGCACTGAAGTCGATGCAGGACAAGTCCATTGCAGAACACAAACTTATCTTCAGCAGTGTTTGACCTGGGGGTGGGCAGAGGAGGGGGAGACACATTAAATAGGTCCTCTTAGTCTGGCTAACATGGCAACATCATAATTCACAGGTGCCAACATCATGGGGCAGCACTGGAAAGTGTGTGCAGTACTGCCATGAACAAAGGCGTGCTCCTGGGACTGAACAACCTGACGTCTGTCCGTGTCTGTCTGTGATAATGTCCTTAGGGAACACGGGCGGACACACCTGCTGTCTAGTGCTAGAATCAATCAGCTGCTGGCTTGTCTGGGATGGAATGTGGAGAAGCAAGCCCTCAGAGACTATCTAGGGGCAGAGGTTCCCAACCTGTTGGGTGCACCCCCCTTGGCAGGGTCGAATGACACTTTCACAGCGGTCACCTAAGACAATCTGCATATGAGACATTTACATTATAATTCTTAACACTAGCAAAATTACAGTTATGAAGTAGCAATGAAAGTAATTGTATGGTTGGGGGGTCACAGGAGTCCCTCACAACATCAGGCCTATTAGGGTTCCCTCACAGGAGTGAGGAGAGGGTCATGAGACCCTCACCTGAGATCATAGCCACTGACTCCCTCCTGCTTTCACACACTTAGAAGTGCGGAATCCTGCCGCACCCTGTTCCATGCAGTCAAGGGAGGTGTTGAAGCTAATAGAAGGTAGGAAACTGACTGGAAGTGGGGGGGGGGGGGTCCATCTATGCAACTTTTGCAAGGCCATTATCCATGCTAGGTGAGACTTTTCAGCGATACATCTTTGTGGGGGGGGGCACCCCCATTCCTGAAATCAAACCCTCACGTATGCCCCTATTAACCCAGTAAATATACGGGTTCCCCATCCTGAACTTGGATACAAGCCTTTCTTTGCCCTATTGTTGGTCCCCTCTCTGGGGTGAATAGACCTTTGTTATGAGGTTTCCTCAAGAAAAGTCATACAATGGCCTCTCTCTGCAGTGAACAGGAGACTTCCCTTTGGGGCTCCCGAGTCAAGGCTGCTCCCTTATTTTCTTAAATGCCAGAAGCTGATAAGGCCGGAGGCTAGACACTACAGTTCCATTATGCAAATTCAAAGCAACAAGTTTCTCCAAGTGCCGATCACAGAGTACGAGGTGGCAGAGCACATTACCTCCTTGAACTAAAATAAGGGGGCCACAGGAGGCTGTTTCTAAACTTGCCAATGGTTTATACTGTGTCTGTAACCATCCCCTTTCTCCCTCATAAAAGGGGCCCTGAAACCTCGGCTTGGCCATGATGGCTTAGCAGGGTAACCTTGGGCCCTCCTTTCATCTCTCTGGACTTCCTTTCTCTTATCTATGGAACAGGAATTTAATCATAATTTCCTAAGGTTGCAGAGGGAATTAAAGAAAATGAAGATTTTTTTTTTGAAAGCCCACGCACAGTGCCTAGCACACAAGAGGATTCAGAGTATTAGGTGTAACTAATTCTCAATTCTGTGGGATCCTTACTCTAATCTTGGCTTTTCCTTAACTTTGAAATATCGTGCTCCATATTTCTCTCTCTAGGTCAATCGCACACACAAGCCAGTGTCTTTCTAACGGTGCTTCTGGATGAATAGCTTCATTCATTCCTTCACTCAGCCGGTATTTACTGAGCACCAAGGATGAGCTGTTCCTGGAGACAGGCAGTACAGAGGGCTTGGTGAAGTGTGGCGTCCACCTGCATGGAGCTTATCTTCGGCCTAATCCCTTGCCACGCGCCTCAGATGACAGGCACATCTCTCCCAGCTCTCATGCACTGGATTGGCTGCAAATTAAGCTCAACTTTGGCACTCTAGCTACAACTCTATCCCATCTCTGCCTCAGATCCCTCCATACAGGGGGCAGATGGACAGAATGTTTTTACCTCAGAGTTTGAACGTGGACATGCAACCACTGGCTTCAGAATCAAGAGAGTATAGCTAAAATGCAGATTTCAGTATTATTCTGTAGCCCACTAGCTCAAGGCACAGGAGCTACACTTTACGCAGGAGTTTCTGATGCTACAATATGAAACAGAAACAGGTGGTAGAGAAGAGAAAGAGGGGAATGATGATTTTTTTTATAATATCTGGTGAAATACAGGTACTATCTCTGAAATATGTATTGAAATGAAGCAAGGAAGATGGAATTAAATATGCCCTGGGTGGTGAATAAAAACATACACACACACACACACACACACACACACACACACACACACACACACACACACACACGACATGTGTGGAGAGGAGCGTAGGTCTGAAGTTGAAGCTATTTGAAAAGTCACTTCCTATTGGGCATGGCAGTGCACTCCTGAGTCCCCAGCACTCTGGAGGTTGGAACAGGGAAGATTCCAAGCTCAAGGTCAGCTGTGAGTCTAAGGTCAGGCTAAGCTACCTAGTGGACCTATTTGTCTATGAATGAATGAATGAATGAATGAATGAATGAATGAATGAATAAAGAAAGAAAGAAAGAAAGAGAGAAAGAAAGGAAGAAAGGAAGAAATGATAGCTAGCTAGCTAGATGATAGACAGAATTCACATCCTCCTCATGTTTGCTGCCACTGAACACTAGAGAGTGGACCAAATCTTCTGACCCAAAAACTCAGCTGTCGAACTTTCAGAGGCCCATCAAGAATGTTGCAACAATCACTTGTGAAATAGAAACTCATAAGGCAAACCCAGCATTTTCACAAACACCATCTGCACCCCAAGAACAGTCCTAGAGCCACAGACTTAAGGCACCACCACATCCATTTTCTATTTTGCATAGAAAAGATCTGGATTCCTAGTGAGGCAACACTCTGCTCAGAGACTTGCACTGTGTCTACCCCTGGTGGACTTCAGACTGGAACCCAGGGTCCTGGATGCCACTCCATCATTCTTTCTAGTCCCCACTGCTCAGTGTTTTAATGTTTGAATACATTTCATCTCCATTTCTTCAATAAACCCCCCACTGTTACAAATGAGAAGGCTGAGGGGAGATAAAATAATAGAACATACCTGATGGAAAGTCTGAGAACAAACAGCTCCAAAAAGGCTGATTCTATAAGTAACGTCTGATCTTCTTTGGGGAGATCAGTGAATCCTGGGATCTTTTCTGCCCAGCTTCTGGACACGTCAATGGAGGCCGTCAGGAGGTTGTAGAACTGCTGCACGTGCTCAGCATCTGTGCCGGCAGTGGCCTGGTCAGTGGGACAGTACTGGAAAGTAATGCACAGACAGCATTAACCTGATTGCACGGGGATGGCGCCATCTTTTGAGACTGGCTCTGCCCAGATGTCAATGCCTAAATCTTATCCCCCTTTATAAAACCTATTAACATTCACAGCCTCATCCGATCCTCCAATGGCCCTGGGACATAAAATAAAATGAATTTATTGTTATTATCCAATAGATAAAAGTCCCTTCAAGTCCCATCAGTGCCGGGGTTTGTCGATGTCATCTGGGGAGCTTTATAAAGCACTGGTGTCTCAGTTCTACCCCCAGAGAGGCCAATATAAGTGGTCTGGAGTGAGGTCTGCCCATTGGGAACTTTAAAAGCTCCACAGATGATTCCACAGAGCATCCCATGGGAGAAACCATTGCCCACATGGAAACCATTGCCCTAGGGTCTTGGGTCTGAGTAGGCCTTCTGGCTCCATGGGTTCTGCTGTAGCATTGTGGCATTCCAAAAAGATGCCCTCAGTAAGGAGCCAGAGATTTTCAAAGTATAGAAACTGGGTATTGTGCTAGAAATGGCAATCCCAGGCCTGCTTCATCAAAAACTCTGGAGGTGGGTCTAACAGACCGCTTCTTATCAAAGCTGAGGGTTCTAATGTACACGGAAGTGTGAAAATCACATAGTTAACCAATAGGAGAAAAGATGATTAACTTTTGCTAGCTGGTGATGGATTGCTATGAGATAAATCTGGACGTGTATGTGTTGGGTGGGGAGTTCCTCTGTTGCAGAGCCCAGACAGCTGTATGCCACCAGACTTGGGGATTGGGACTGCTTGTATTAATCAAAATCAGACAAAATCAAAAGTTTAGTTTCTTATCACACTAGCCATATTTCAGGTGCTTAACTGTCACGTGGGGTGGGGTACATGTTCCTCATCACAGAAAGACATACTAGATAGCACAGACCTAGGAACCTGGGGGTAGAAGGTGGGGAGAAGAGGAGGACAGAGGAGGAGGGGGAGGAGGAGGCAGAGGAGGGGGAGGAGGTCTCTCCCAAGCTTTGGGCTACTCACGCCTTCTGCAGTGGTAAGAGCAGTCCCCGCCTGCTTGGGGCATGAACTTTACTTTGACAGAACTCAGCAAGGAAAAAATTAAAAAACAAAACACAGAACAAAAACCCGCAGGCCCAGCTTCCCTGACTGTAAACCCTTTGGGATTCACCTGCAGTCATTCTTGTCCAAGTCCCAGAATTCTGGAACCAAAATCAGATGCAACCTGAGCTACCAGTAGCAGGTGGGGAGAGAAGGATCATTTATGTGCCTCTGAACATAGAATTTAAAGAGACAGGCCAAAGCTTCCAGATACTCTGCCTGGCCGAGCCACTTAACCCTGGAAGTGGAAGAGCTGGACCCCCATCTGTGCCTGCATGCAGTCCCTACAACTCTGGGCAAGATACCCTAAGGTATTTGTTCATTGATTATTCCATTGAAACATAGGTCAAATAGAGAAAGAATTTTTTAAACGAACGTTTCTCTCTGTCTCTGCTAGTGTTTAATGCCAGCCTATCAGGACACTTGACCTGTCAGAGTATGGCTTTAGCTCTAGTCAGAGATATAGCAGCACCTTCACTGACAGCCACGGCAGATGGAGACTTCTACAAAGGCCCTAGAAGGAGAATTGTTTGCTACACACAACAGCAAATAGATACGGGTTTTAACCCAAACAGCCTGCACAATGCATTTAGCAGCAACTGTGGGGGTCAGGTTTCAGCAGTGGCCCAGGCCTATAAGTTATTCAGCTAGAGAAAAGCACTCTGAAAAATTAGTCATGTGATGCTTTAATAGCAGAATGGAGCTGAATATGTATCACACTTTCAGCCCTTGATAAATATGTGAAATATATGAAGGAAATGGATTTCCTCCCCACCCCCCTCAGTATGTGACTTTTCTCTCAGCCTTCATATCTCATAGATGATAGATGTGATCATTATATGAGTCAAACTATGTATGCATAGTCTTGGGTTTTTGTACTTTAAAGAGTGCCATTTGGGGGCTGGAGAAATGGCTGAGTGCATAAAACACTTGCTTTCATGAAGAACTTCTATAAAACTCAGGTAGACACGATGGTCCACCCATAATCCTAATCTGCCAAAGGTGCAGGAGACAAGGGATCCCTGAAGCAAGCTGGCGAGCTAGATTAGCTAGCTCCAGGTTCACGAGAGACCCTGCCTCAAAACATATGGTGGAGAGTGATGGAGGAAGACACCAGATACCAGCCTTTGGACTCCCCAAGCCATGTGCATGTTCACCCCACACATGCACCCACGTACACTGGAACACATGCATATACTACACATATACATATGCTGATAAATAAAATAAATTTTAAGTGACATTTTAAAAATTGGTAGTGAAAAAGATTGGTGATGAATATATTTTTCCCAACTTTCTTCTTTTTTTGATGTCTGTGTCCCTCTATTAGAAAAACTAAAAGCAAAACAAAACAAAAAAAAACCAAAAACCAAAACCCAAAAAGTGTCCCTCCTGCCTCTAATGGTATTACTGCAGGTGATGTTTTCAGTACCTGTTTTCTCTTTCAATGGCAGGTAAGCTCCAAGAGGGCAGAGCCTTGTCAGATCCACCATCCACATGCCCCCTACCCTACATATTTGTTAAGTGAATTTAGTGCTTCCTGGAAATTTTATAGTTCATTCTTTCTCGTCCCTAAGAAAAACTGGGGCATTCAAAGTAAAGTTGAATTGTCATTATTAAACTACATTGGTGGCTCCCAAACGTTATAAAGCCAAAGAATCATCTGAGGCTCCTCTTAAGATAAAGATTAGTTCTGGCCTCCTGCTTTCAAGTCTTCAATCAGTAGGTCTGGGTGTGACCCGGGGGGAACCTGTATGTTAAAGCAAACACTGCCGTTCTTTGTGGTTGAGGCACTCTGGGTACCACACCCAAGGAGATGCTGGCCTGGAGGTAGTCTGAGTACCACACCCAGGGAGATGCTGGCCTGGAGGTAGTCTGGGTACCACACCCAGGGAGATGCTGGCCTGGAGGTAGTCTGGGTACCACACCCAGGGAGATGCTGGCCTGGAGGTAGTCTGGGTACCACACCCAGGGAGATGCTGGCCTGGAGGCAGTCTGGGTACCACACTCAGGGAGATGCTGGCCTGGAGGCAGTCTGGGTACCACACTCAGGGAGATGCTGGCCTGGAGGCAGTCTGGGTACCACACTCAGGGAGATGCTGGCCTGGAGGTAGTCTGGGTACCACAGCCAGGGAGATGCTGGCCTGGAGGTAGTCTGGGTACCACACCCAGGGAAATTCTGGTCCATACTCATAGTGGAACTCTAGGTAGCAGCTGCAGTGATGGGAGGGTTAGGGAATAAGAGGACTAGCAGGAATCACAGCAGTGCACTTGGTCTAACCTCTCCACCATTCAAACTGAAGGTCTTCATGGTGGGAGCTGGCCGATGTCACTCAGTGAATTGCCTGGGAAACGTCTTCCCCAAAGCGTCTTGAAACCAGTATTTTGCAGCCTTCACGCTGTGGTCTCTGTAAGTCTAACATGTGGTAGCCATGTTGGGTCTTAAGGCTATCTCATTAGCATTTAAGTGACATTTGCTGGTGTCTGGTTTGATGTGAGCAATGGTTCTCGTAGCTGCAGTCTGTTACTGCACTAAGTGGCACGGATTACCAGAAAACATCCTAGCATGCTGAAAAATACTTGGAATGACCAGCTAATGAGGACATTAAGTATATTTCCTCATTAGTAATTATGCGGGCGCTGAAGCCAAGCCCGGTATCTATATATACTCGTATTGCTAAATTAAAAGCAACTGTGGGGCAGGGAATAGCAGCATCGCGGGGAGAAACAAATCAAATGTGACATGTTTTGACTGCGCTGATGTACAATGATCTGAGCTCATTTTTGAGGGAGAGAAGTTTGGCCCACAGGAGAAGTGAAGGCTCCAGAGCCAGGAATGCGTCACAGAGCTCAGGAGTGCTCATCCTGGCCTCTTAAAACATTCACTCCCTCTGTGACTTGGAACACAATCCTTCCTTTTTCCACATTCAGGGAGAAAAGGGTTCACTCAGTTTCTACCTTTAAGGCACATATCCTGCTACATGGAAATCAAAAGACACTGGCTGGCAGACGCTTTCTTCTTTCTCTATTTACCTAATCACTTGGAGGGGGTGTGTGCAGCTAGTACTGTTAGTAGATTGTATTGGCCACATCAACTGTCAGGCCCAACTTGACAGGACAAGTTCTTGTCTAACATACAATAAGCTATGAATACATACTAAGACGTTAATATCAGTAGCAGAGAGAGGGGTAGGGTGACTGCCAATGTACAGAAAACAATGTATTTTTTTGTGTGTTTACTTCTGAATGAATTGATTTTTTTTAAAAAAAAGATAAAGGGCTGGAGAAATAGCTCAGAGGTTTAGAGCACTTGCTGCTTTCTCAGAGGACCTAAGTTTAGCTCCCAGCACCCACATGAGGACTCACAACCATCTAACTCCAGTTCCAAGGGATCAGAGGCCCTCTTCTGACCTCTGCGGGCACCAGGTACCCATGCGGTCGGTACACAGACATACACACCAAGGAAAACACTCAAATATATTTAAAAAAATCTAATAAAAATGATGTAATACTACCATATAATAGTATACCATAAGCATGATGGTATAATATAAATACATATTACTATTATTGTAGTTTTTTTAAAAAAAAATCAAATGAAATTTCTACTTAAAAAACAAAAAAACCTAGTAAATTGTCATTAGCTAGCAGGGATAGTATGATGGCACGGAAGCATCCCCTTGAGTGACTGTGTCTCATCTCAGCCCTGCCACCAGTCTCAGGCCACAGCATTACCCCCGCTGAGCCTTCATTTATTTCTCTGAAAACACAACAAGGAGGGGGGGGGTGTCTCAGATGATCTCAAGGTCATTCAGCGCTGCGATTTCATAATTACAAACCTTTAAGGGGACGGTAGCATACAAGCTTAATTTCAGGCAACGACAATCTTTAAATAAAGCACTGACGTTATAATTTTGGTGGCAGAATTGCGGGCTTCTGTGAGAATATTTACGATGGTGTCTGACTCAAAGTCACATTTAGAGAAGTTCTTTTCTTTTTCTTATTGATTTATTTGTGTGTATGTGTGTGGGCACACTCCAGTGCCATGGTGTGGGGTTTGTTTGTCTCCGTTTATCATGCAGGTTCTGGGGATTGAACTCAGGCCATCAGGGTTGGCGGCAAAAGCCTTTATATTGAGCCATCTTGCCTGTTTTATTAGCTTTTTGTTCTAAGTGTGTGTCTGTGTATCTGTATGTAAGGGTATAGGCATATGTGTGTATGCCTGTGTGTGGGGGGGACCAGAGGCCAATGTCCTGTGAGTTCCTTGACAATTCTCCACCTTTAAAATTTTCTAATCATTTGAAAAATATTAATTCTTTGAAAATGTCATAGATGCATTGTCTTAGCCACTTTCTGTTATTTTGGAGACCCCATAACCAAGGCAACTCATAAAAGAAAGCACTCAACTGGGGGTTTGCACATGGCAGGGAGCACCGTGGCACACATGGTACTGGAGCACTAGTTCTGAGCTATATCCTAATCTGCAGGCTGAGAGAAAGAACCCTGGCCTGGTTCTTTAAAGCCTCAAAGCCCATCCCCAGTGACACGCTTCCTCCAACAAGGCCACACTTACTCCAACAAGTCCATACCTCCTAATCCTTCTCAAACAGTGTCACTCCTTGGTAACTAAGCATTCAAATAATATGATTCTATGAGGGACGTTCCTATTCAAACCACCACATGCACACAATATACTTTCATCATATTCACCCCCAATTCCTCTTCCTAATCCATTTTATGTTTGGGAAAGAGTCTCACATGTAACCTGGAGCTCACCATTGGCTAGACTGGATGGCCAGCAAATCCCAGAAATCCTGGGAATTGCCACCTTACCAGCTCTAGAATTTCAAGTGTACGCTACTGGGGATTTGAACTCAGGTATTCACACTGGGGTGGTATGCACTTTACCAACTTAGACATCTCCTTAGCCCCAATTCTAGTATTTTGATAGATAACAAAGTCATGTTACATAATCATGTAAGTTATATATATATATATATATATGTATATATATATATATACATACATACATACATACACACACAAATATACACATTCTTGTATATTTCTGCAAGTAAGTGCTTACATTAAGGAACCAAAAAGTAAACCTCAGAATCATAAAGTTTTAAGAGTTGGAAAGGACTTAATGTCATGCAGACAACCTTTCCCTTTGTGGAGAAACCTGTCATGTGCTGTCCTTGATTACTCCTTGGTTTGCTGACCTCACTCTGACAGTAGTTGGTCTGGATCAGAGAACTTGCCCTCAGAGCAGCTTTGAAGGCATGCCCTTCCACCCCCGCCACCATCTTCTTTCTCTAGATTTGCCTGAGGGAACAGAAGTATTCTTTTTCTTTTTGATACAGGGAAAAGAGAGTGAGAGTGACCTAATTCCTACAAGGCTCCCTTCCTATCTATATATCTTCCTTTTTTCTCCAACCATCTCTTACAAGTCTCCAGAAACAGTGTAGCTACATTCCCCCTTAAATCTGGTCTTGGATTGGACTCAATCCTTGACGTGTGATCTGAAAGGACAGTCCATGGGACCATATGGAATTGAATTCTGGTCCCATACTTCTACTACCACAGCAGGTAATTTAGCCCCCCCCCCCCCCCCCGCTGCTTCCACATACACACACTTGGTTGGATCATACTGAGTGTCTGTGGAATAAACTCCTGAATGAACCACTGACAAGCCAAGGCTCTCCCCTTTAACAAAATCTAAATGTTGAGCTTCACATTTATTTTTGTTAACTTTCTTCGTGATGGTTTCAGCCCTTCCTGTTCCAACCTGTCGAGATCGTTCTGAATGTTGATACTGACATCCATCATATTAGCAGATTCCTCCCAGCTTTCTGTCATCTGCAAATGTGATCAGCATGCTCCTGTGTCTTCTTCCAAGTTTTTGATGAAAGCTCACTGTATTTTTTAAAAAGTCTTTTAATTTAGTTGATTTGGGTCCAATTTTTGATAATTTTGTAGAGCTAGCTAAATGCAGGAGAACCCAAGCGATGAAGTTCAACCTGATTCCAAAACAATGCAATTAAAATAAATATGCTTTGTAAAATTGAGCTAGGCCTTGTAGGTAGCATCAGCATGACCCAGACTTTGGCATTAGCAATCTGTATTTGGGGCAAAGCTAACAATTAAATTGGATAAATGTTTGTTGATGAAGATGATGACTCCAGACTAACAGACTGAACAGTGCAGAGACAAGCAAACACACTGGATTGATTTTTTTCACTGTAGAGACAGTTCCCAGCTGGGACAACTCAACGTACTGGGGAGATGTTGCCACTGCATGAGAAATTAGGCCATGGAGACTGATAATTAGATAGTTTGGGGATACAACATCATTCTGGGGGAGGCGACTTTTCTGGACTGACCATCAGTAGCAATGGCAAATGCCCTGGGACGATGCCAGATTGCATGCCAGTTTTAGCTAAAGCAGCACCTATAAGCTTCACTGATGCAGATGAATTGCAGAGGGAGAGGCAGAGGTGCTTTGGGGAGGAGAGTCTTCGTGTCCAAATAGTAGTTCCCACCCTCATTGCAACCAGAGGCTGTGAAGTGTGACTCCTAATTTGACCTCTGATAGATGTGTTTTGCTTAGTGACCTTGAGCCAGTCAACTCTTTCACTTCTCTTTGTTTTGATTCCCTTATTGGATCATGGGGATAATACTACTTATCTTAACGGTGTTGCCCCATGACACTGGACTGTGTAGTGCCTATACTTATTAGCACATTTGATAAATGGCCAGAGTAAAAAGTTTGATGAAAGTAGTGACATACAAGGTACCATGCTGAAGTTTTGACAAAGGTCATCATATTTAATCTTCACAAACAATCTTGGGAAGCAGATAATATTACCAAGTAACAAAGATGAGGAAACTGAGGCATTCAAAGATCAGTTTCTCAAGGTCACCCAGCTAGTAAACGTGGGCAATGGGATTTTCATCTAGACTTGCCTGCTTTCAAAGTCTCAGCCCTTAGTCAATGCATTATTCTGTTATACTATTATACTATTTGAGACTTGACTTTCATCAAGAGATGCTACTTACAATCAGAATAAGAGTCCTCAACCTTTGGTGCTAAGGATCTACCATGCTACTTACAGGGAGGCTTGTGATCAGGTGTAGAGAAGGCTTTGCTGCCTAGGATGAGGGTAGGGAGGGGGGCAAGAGGCTCTCAGAATGTATGCCATCATCTCTGTCAACACTGCAACCTAAAAGGAGGTCACATAGCAAAGGCATACTCCTGTTCCTTGCCAAGCATTCACCCAGATGCTGGAAATGCTGAATTAGCCATGGGGAAGGCAATCAGATCAACCAATGGGAGATCCCCACACTAGCCTTTCTTCATTTGTGTTTCTAAGCTTGTCTTCAAGTGGAGGTAATACCCCTTACAGCTCATAGCTCTTTCAAAGGTGCAATGAGACAGTGTGATACAGTGTCTAACATGAAGACTTATTCAGTAACTAGGACTATTTTTTTTCCCTCTTCCATCTGTACTGACTGTATTTTACTAGAACTCTGCTTTTCAAAGTCCTATAAAAATGGCCTTATCATGCTGCAATTTTTCTCAAAAGTCTTTTATGGCCCTTCTTAGGGAAATTTGCAGGCTTCATACTGGTGAGATTTTTTTTTATGATGTCCTATGTTAAATTAAAATGTTGATATGTTTTGGTTGACTGAAATAACAACACTGGTAATCATTTAAGTTTTTCAAAATGGTTTTTCATCCTTGTGTGACTGATGCTCAGAACCCTCCTCTGGTGTTAAATACGGTAATCATTTCCACTGCGGGGAGGAGAAAGTCAAGAACAGGAGCCAGGTGACACAGGCAGGAAACAGAAAAGGCAGCATTCCATCCCAGACCTCCTGATGCCCCTGATGCCAAGGCCAGGGCTTGCTTCTCCCAGGGTCTAATCCCCCCAGACAAGCAGCAAGTTAATCAATGAGGATGCAATTGGGTAGCCTGCTTAAGGATAACCTGGGGTTCACCCACAGGGTTTGTTCACAATAGTCACAATTTCTAAAGCATCAGAGAACTACAAATTGTAGTTCACCTGTGCAGCTTTTCATTGGCGCCACCAGGGATCCTGCAACCACACGTGTGGCAGGTGTAGCCCTGTCAGGGTCATTGTTAAGGCATTTAGAGAGTCAATCAGGCCAAAATTATTTGGTATAGTGAATGCACTAGTTGCTAAACGAAATGAAAACTATAGAAAAGGTAGGCTGCCGACTAGCACAGTCCCAGGCACAGTCATTCAATCAACTCTGGTTACTATTGTCATGAATGGAGTAGCATAATCATTCAAGAGCATTTAGTGAACTTACTCTGGAATAATCAAGATCTCTGGGTGTTGCATCTGTTAAAGCTCGGACAAGGGCATTCATCATGCAGATCGGAGGGGGTGGCGGGGAAGGCTGCGAGGGCTCCTGCTGTAGCGGGCTCTTTGGTTTGGAAGGCAGCCGGCCTCTCCTCCCTTTCAGACTATCTGTACGCACGACTGATGAGACACACAGAGAGAAGAAACCAGTGTTTAAAGATCACATTCAGAAAAGGCATAAATCACGAAAAGGAATCCAAACACATTAGAGTTTGGCAATGATGAATGAGATCCACCATTTCAAAGCAGTGTTAAGTTTGGAATAATGCTCAACAGTGATTGAGAGTTGAAATAATGAGGGGGAAAAAAAAGATATCCCATACTTACATGTTAGCTCTGAAAATCTCCTTCTCAAATAGAATAATGGCTTTTTAAAAAATTGATTTTTGAGAAATTAGAATAAGCAGTCCTCAATGTTACTTTAGTGTAAATATAAATACCATTAAAAAGAAAATGTTTGAAAGAAAGAGACACTAGGAAAACTTACTGCCTCCATGTAAATATTAGCAGATTTAGCTGTTTGAGGATATGCATAAGCAAACTGGATGAAAAACATATGTCCTTACCTTCTTTCACCATCCCGACACTGAGACACTTTTGAAATCGGCAGTACTGACATCGATTTCGACGTCTCTTGTCTACTGGGCAGTTTTTATTTGCCAGGCAAACATATTTTGCATTTTTCTGCACCGTTCTCTGAGAAAATATAATACAGAGATAGTCAACTAATAGTTTCTGGAAAGAGGTAAGACCTGACAAGATGTATTTTAATTACAATGTGAAAAGCGACAGTGCAATTTGTATAATTAGATAAATTTAATTTCCTAACACGCTAGCCTGCAGGAAAAACAATTTTATTAGTGTTCCTGGCTGACAGTGAAAATCATCTTGGGTTGTTCTGAAGCGAGTCTCAGGAGGCACCCAACTCTGAATGATAAAATCATATCTGAAATTACCAGGTCAACATATCGTACCTCAGAGGATTAGATTATCTCCACTTTTAATATCCCCTTGGGAACAATTTTCTACTTGTTCTACTCCCCTGATTATCGCTGACCTTATTAAAATAAAATCAGAATTATCTGGACTGTCCTACGGATGGAATCACTATTGTAAGGCAGCTATCACAATAACTGATTTTGTTACTCAATAGAGATGAAATCGTACAGAACAAAATCAGGGTCTATCTCGCTAAAATATATAGGAAATAATGTTTTCATTCTAAAACAAATAGGAAATCATGTTTTAATTAAAAAGGAAATCCACATGATCGCACTACTTAACTCACTTTATCTTTTAAAGGATACACATAATAAACTGGTTGTTTCTGACTTCCAATTCTTAAAGTTGGATAGAAAAATCACTATCATCTCCAAGAAAGAAAACCCAAAGCTGGGTAAGAACAAGAAAAAAAAAAAAGAAAGTCATATACATCCCAGTATTTCACAAATGACTATTATTACAGACACCAAAAAGAACCACATTGTCAAAGACACATCATAAAACTTGATATTGGAGATAAAAATAACACCACAGTTTTCTGAATCACATAGACTTTTGAAATAATACACGGAACAATAATCAAACGTAATCTTATGCTCCAAATGTAAAATGATGCTTTAAGAAAACAAACAAACAAAAACCCATGAAAATCTTTGTGCAAATGGTTGCAAGTTTACCACTGAGGATGGATCGTTCTGAAAGGACATGGAGCTACACAACTCTGCTCAGAGCAGAACACTGAATTTATTTGGGAAATCTCGGCTATGTTTTAAAAGAAGTTTAGGTAAGCTGTGCTTAGTGATGTGTTTTGGGCTCAGAATTCTAGTTTTACTTTTATCCTTTCTTTTCCACTCTTATTTCCCAAGTTTCAGTTTTACCCTGTCACCTTTTCATTTCATGTAAGGGAATGATTATACACATGCAATCCCAACCTATGCCAAGTCTAAGACATGGCTGCTGGATTTAAATGCAAAACTCTGAAAGACTTCTGGGTTTTCAGCACCTCACTCTCTGTATTGATATCAGTCAGTATTGATAGGAGCCTTTGAATGACACACTCTTTCACAGAACATGCCCATTCTTCCTAGCACTCTTTCTTCACACTGTCCTCAAGGCAGTGTGCTGATTTAAGCACTTGTGGCATTTTGCTTCAGGTACACATTTTCCCAATAACCCAAAGCCTTCCCCACATGTGTGTGTGTGTGTGTGTGTGTGTGTGTGTGTGTGTGTGTGTGTGTGCACAGTGTAAGGACAGAGAGATCGTTACAGTTCAATCACCGAATTCCCATCATTAACTGCACTTCATGTCACATTTTTAAAGAATTCAATTTAATGGTAGAAAGCCACTGGTAAATCCGGTTCCAGTTCTCTTAATTAACAGATCTGTGTGGTGGTCCTACCCCGGCCTGCCCCCACCCTTTCAAGTATAGATCTGTTTTCAAGGGAATGCTGAAGAAGAGGGAAGCTGTTGGGGAAGGGTTAGTGCACGATTTTAGACTTGGGATGTTACACTCCAGTGTTGTGATGAGTTCTCATTGATTTAGGGATGGCTCTACAGTAGAGTCTTCATTCAACGCTTACTGGAGCATCTTTCTTTTCTCCCTTCCTGCTGGCTGTTCATTGTTCTTTAGCATTTCCACTGACATGCTATAAAAAAAATCAAACCCACTAAAGGAATGTAGTTATGTGGAAGCAGCTTTGGGACATCTTGAGTAGGTAACTGGGGGTGGGGGAATAAGAGAGAGAAAGGGAGGAGGCTAACCTGGGATTGGGTTCTAGCTCAGTGGTAGAGTACCTGCCTAGCAAGCACAAAGCAGCCCCACGTTCAGTCCCTAATACTGAGGGAAAAAGGCAGAGGCTAACCTGAATGGCTTATTAAAAGGAAGTTCTGCCCTTAAATTGCCATAAGCTTGTGTATCTGTGGGGCATTAGACATGGCAGCATCTATAATTACCCAAGCATCCTTTCATTTACCTAGAGAATTCAATGAGTGACATGATACTCATTGTCACACCAGAAATAACCCCCTGTTGGTTTATATGTCCAACTACAAACATGTGCATTGTCATAAATACTTCCGAGTTTTCATTCATTAATAACTATTGTTTTATGGCTCTTTAAAGACTAGGAAGTGAGTGCTTTTATATGTTGATATCTTATTTAATATCGCCTTTCTCTGAGTTTGATCCACTGGTTGGGAAATTAAGATCTAGGAAGAAGACTTATGTCCAATGTTATAAACTGGTAGGTGGTGACAAGTTAGGACTCCTATTTGAATCTTCCAGCTCCAGCTCCAGCACGCTCCTAAATATACTCTATTTGCCTCCCAAATCCTAGTCACTCAATCAGCATTCCACTTCGCCTATGAAGTTTGTGTGGGTCTGCGCATGTCTGAGGTATCAGTAGGTCAGGGTGTGAGGAGACTAAGACAGAAGTTTCTAGAACTGTCTGAGACTAAATGACAAAAGGAAGACAAGAGAATAAGTAAGCTGGCCCACCCCCCTACACACACACACACACACACACACACACACACACACACACACACAGACACACACACACAGACACACACATACACACAGACACAAACACACAGACACACAGACACACAGACACACACACACACACACACACACACACACACACACACACACACCAGGGATGGAAAGACTACTGAACTCAGGGGTCAAGAGAAACCAACTGTCCTATGCCACTCACTCACTGCACAAGCCTGCCTGCCCAAGGGATGCTTCTCAAGGGCTCAATTTTTTTTGCTGATAAATATAGGAAGGCTGATGACACTCCCATTGTAAAATTCTCCACTGTGTCTATGAGAGAATGATCCACGTGGGTACTGTGTGTGTGCACAGATGCAGGGAGGCAAGTGTTCCTAGAGGACCGGGTAGACTGGCAAGGCCTGAGTTCTGCCTGCTACCCTTCTATGAAGGAACCTGTCCCAAAATGCCCCTAGCCAGTTTGCCCCAGCCCCAACTCTGCCACTGCGGAGCTAGGAAAAGGAGGCGTGTTGGGAGCACACAGATATGAGTTGACCTCCTGTATCCACCTCACTCTCTGAGTATGAGTTCTATGGCAGTTGAATGACCTCTCTGAACCTCCATTTTCTTCTTCAAGGTACAAGCATAATTATCCTCTATCTTCAAAGCACACTGAATAAAAACAGCTAGCGAGTGACCAAAATTCAATCTTTCTTTTTTTTCTTCTTCTTTTTTTTTTTCCAAGACAAGGTTTCTCTGTGTATCTTTGCTCCTTTCCTGGATCTCACTCTGTAGCCCAGGCTGGCCTTGAACTCACAGAGATCTGCCTGCCTCTGCCTCCCAAGTGCTGGGATTAAAGGCGTGGGCTACCACCGCCCGACCAAAATTCAATCTTAAATCTGACTAATTCTAGACTAGCAGTTCTTCCTGTGAAGATGGAGACACAAATGCCCTGGCCTGACATACTATTCTCTCAGGCGCTCTGGGTGTACAGGGAAGGGATGATGACGTTTGGGCGTTGCTGAAGTTTGGATCCTTTAGAGAATTTGCAGAAATCCCTATTCAGAAAAAAAAAAAAAAGCACTCAGAAGGCAATGTCAGCAGGTCAAGAGGTTGGGGCCGACCCATCAAGTGCATGGACTTTGAGTTTAAAAGCCCGAGAAAGAAAGGTCTGAAGTTCTAGCCTAGGAATCGGAATGCACAGTGAGTGAGCTTTCATACTGGCCGGGGCAAGAAGGTTGCTACTCCTACTTAGATGCCCCTGCAAGGGGCCTGACTGCAGAGCGGAGGAAGCGCCTGGAGGAGGCATGCTCTCACCTTGAAGAAGCCCTTGCAGCCCTCGCAGGTGCGGACCCCGTAGTGCTGGCAGGCGGCATTGTCCCCGCACACCGCACACGTGCCCTCGCCGGATGATGAGCTCCTGTTGGGTGGCGATGGCAGGCTGGGGCTCTCTCCCAGCAGGCTGGACGCAGTAGGGGAGGCTGTGAGGCCCAGCGGTGGGAAGGTCAGCGCGGCCGTCCTCTTGGCCAGCGGGAGCCCGTACGGGTGGCCCTCGAGCGCAGCAGCTTGGCTGCTCGCGGCAGCAGCCGCGGCTCCCAGGGGCAGGCTGAGCGCAGCGGCGGCTGTGGGGTCGTAGCCGAGGTGGTGGCCGCCCGCTGGGCTGGGCGCGGGAGGGTGCGGCGGCGAGGGCTTGAAGTGGAAGAGCGGGAAGCGCGCTGCAGCCATTGGGGGCACCGCCTTCATCTGCGGGTCGAGCAGCTGGCCCGGTGCGATGCAGCCAGGCGCGGAGGGCAGCTCGTCGTCCCACAGCGCCCCCGCCTGCGGGGGGAAGCCTGGCGTGGTCGGCGTGGACGGCGGAGACTGTTTGAAGTACATGGAAGTGCTGGGCACTACGTCGTCCTCGGGGCCAGAGGAAGGAGGAATGGACGGCTGCTGCTGCTGCTGCTGCTGGTGATGGTGGTGGTGGTGGTGATGGTGGTGGTGGTGGTGGTGGTAGCCGTGCTCACGGCCCTCTTCCATCTTGATCAAAGGCCGCGGCCCGGAAGGCGGCATTTGGTACAGGCAGGAGGGCTTGAGTTCGCAGCTGCTGGGGTAGCCCTCCATGAAGGTACTGAAGCTGGGCAGGGACGTCGTGGCGGTGGCCATGATCCCTGTGCTACCGAGGTCCATGGTCAGCTTGGCGTAGTCGGGGTTCATGATTTCTGTGGTGTATTCCGAGCCATACGTCTGCGTGGCGTAAGTGGACCCCGGAGGCGAAGGGCTATATTGGGCTTGCACGCAGGGCATATCTGCAGGGTCAGAGAAAAGGGCTCAGAAGCCAGTCAACACTCCTTTGCCAGCTGGATTCACTGCTCTTGAATCAGGAAACAGAGGAAGTGGCATCGTCTCCCACCTGCTGGCAAAGACTGAGTGCCCCAAGCTTACTTTCTTCCTTTGTGGGAAGACAGCTGAGTCCCTGACTGACAAAGGGGCCACAGACAATAGAACCTGACCTCCTGGGGCTGACTTAGATCTCCCTTGCTCTGTTCACCAGATCTGGATACAAATGTTTTCTCTCATAAGCCCAGAGAATTTTTAAAAAAATAGTTGAAGTCCTAAAATCCAACTGGAATGGTCTCCCTAGCCATAGGGAGAGGAAGGGAATGCCTTGTTAGTTCATTTGGGTTAGAAGGAGGCCATTGGTCCCCCCTAAGACTTACACACATTAATTTGTAAACCCATGAGCTGGTGAAAAAGATGTTCCGTGTGGGACAAGGGAGGCAGTGACATGCTAACATTTTATGAGTGCCAACTAAGGCTGCCCACACAAGTTGTGGTCGTTGCTTCCCACCCACTCCTCCAAACAGGATTAGCAGCCTGCACAAACTGGACCCCTACTGATGACTTCAGCCAGCTTAAGTGGTGAGGTGGGCATGTAGGCCCAGGAAATGGACTCGGGGGAGTTGATGCCATCTGCAAAGAAAAAGATCAGCTGCAACACAGCACACCCACCAAACCTGCTTGCTCTCTACGATACTGTGTGCGCGGATGCATGTATGTAGACACCTCCCAGTTCTGACTAAGACGATATTCTGATCTAGGAAGATGAGAGCCGTTTTACGACAACAGTTAACAGCTCTTCTAACAGGCAAGCTAGTCTAGGTATTTTCTCATGATGGGAGGAAAGGAAAAGAGCAATTTCAAAGCAGGTGCAATTTCTCTGCCAGTTTGCCTTGGTTGGGCCCTCAAGGCAGCTGGTATTCTGAGGTGCTTGCTATAGTCACAGAGGTTGAGGTGGCTGAGAAGGCCCTGATAGTTACTGGCTCTAGTGGATGATTTTTCTAATAATTTTCCTTTTTTGTGGCTAAATCAAAGTGGTAACATGGGGAGTTTCTGGTGGTTGGTTTTTCTGAGGCAAAGGAAACCCAGGTGCTTAACTTCTTGGAGGGTGTGGTGTGTGAAGAAGGTGTGACTAACAGAGAAGCCAGTCACTGCTTCACACTTCCTTTGACATCTTTCTCTTACCCACATTTCCAAATCTGATTGAGTCATGCGTGTATGGGATGAAATCTTGACTTGAAAAAGGGTGATGAGGGCCTGTTGGAAGAAGCAGCGGTGAGGAGGAGCCAGTTCAAGACTGCCTTCTTTTCAAGTGATGCCTTAGGAGCTAGCTTGAAGCTAAGGGATTGCTTATCTTGGAGTCGAGTTCTTCGACTGAAATGAAAACTGATCACTTAAAAGAAAGAACACTGCCTAGTCTTTCCATCTTGGCCCTCCCTTTGCATCCCCAGGACTTGTCCCTTCGAGTCATCTGTCATTTGTCCATCCCCTATTGCTCTTTGTCTTTCTGAAGTCTCCAGCAGGAGGGGGGAGTGTATCCCTGTCTCTTTGGTGCCTACACAGGCCTGATTCCTCCCATCCCTTTAACAAATTTGTACAAACCAAATCTGAGGCCTTTACAGTTACATCTCTGCCTTTAGTTCACATGGGTTTCTCCTTGTCTCTGAGCCTCAGTCATCCAAACTCCTGCACCACAAATGATTTGGGTTTTAGACCAATAAAAATGTCCCCTATCTCGCCAAGTGATTCCTTACATGAATATGTTGGATTATAAAAAGGACAAAAATAAAGCCATTAAAAAACAAAATATCCTAATCTCTTTGGAGTATTTGTTTTTCTTCTTAGGAAACATAATTTTGACAAATGGTTCATGTAATCTCACTGCTCCGCTTGGTAGCAACAGGGTGTGGTATACAGCGGAGCTTCGTGCCAGGAGGCCACCTGTGCTGTGAAATCCGGGGCCAGCAGCCTTGTGTTGGTACTGGGCAAGTGGACCAGACTGCCTGCTGGGTGCTGGTTCCCCCCACCATTTCCCATGCTCAGGAGGAATAAGGGCTTCAGACCTACCTGGAGGGTATCTTGCGCGCTGAATGGTGGGGCTGGGGGTCTCTCCAGCGGAGGCTGAGAGTGTAGGAGGCGGGGACGTCGGGCTAGGCGAAGCAGCTGCTGTGCTGCCCGGCTCTGCTGAGGATCCAGGCTCAGCGCCGGGGCTCGTCGGTCTGCGCTCTCCCGCAGTGGGCTCTGGAGGCACCGAGAGAGGGGACAGAGATTGTGGTAAGACTAGGCTGGGTCATCTGTTCCAGGCAGAGTTGGGTGAATAGGGTGGGGGTGGGGGAACCTATAGAAAATGCTAGTTAATAACAAAGAATTATCATAAGGTTAAGTGAAAGTGCTTAGGGCTCACGGAATCCCTGGACAAGGAGCATCACATTGTCGTGGGGTAGCTAAGGGAAGGTTGCCGTCACCCAGTGAGCTCACAGCCCTTTTGTAGTACGCGGTCTGATGCTAAACCCCCCCACGGCCTGTCATCGCCCAGAAATTGATCTTTTCTGCACTCACTGTTCCCTGCTTGCAAAGTCAGGGAGATGGAAGAAAGAACACTCGAGGAACGAATATGGCCCGAATTTGGGGGGTGGTAGTGTCAATGAGTATTCAGGAAAAGAAAATAGCCATTTTTCAACTCCGACGGACCCCACTCCTCAAACACAAATCCTACATGCCGCGTAGGAAACGCACAAGGTCCGGAACGAATGCATGAATGCCCGGAGGAATTAAGAAAGTCTGCGCTTTTCATTCTAAATGCTAATGGAGCTTCCTTTCTATTAGTCGCGAGTTTCGGGGGGCCAGGGGTCAAGCAAACAAAAGGGCACAGAGGGAAGAAGGCCAGTTCTGGGAGCCGCGCGCTCGGGCAGACAGCTTCGGCGGCTGCTGCTGCGGACCGAGGGAGGTCCCGGGCACTCAGCGGGCGGTATCCCCGAGGGTGGGCGGCTTTAAGGCTCCAGGCCACCCGGTGGCTCAGAGGGGGTACATTCCGGAGGGCGCCCAGAGCGGCTCCCAGGCGAAGGTCTCGGTACTCAGCCTAGTGAAACTTTGTAGCTGGAAGCGCAGCTTGCCTGGCAGGGAAGAGGGCTCCAGCTGCCCCAAACTCCGACTTATAGCGCCCCCTTTGTCCGGGGTGGGCACAGCTCACAGGTTAGGAACGTGACCCCCCCGGGGTTGGGGAACCCAACCCTCAAACTAACCAAAAGACTTGTGGCGAGCGCTGGACACAAGGGTAGGGTAAGTCTCATCTCCTGCCGCTCCCGCACCCCGAGTTTGCTTGTAGAGAGGAAGGGGCTCGGACTCCCCAGGTCTAGGAAATTCTCGATGGCCAGGAAATGGGGGATTCCCTTGCCATCCCCAGCCCGAGGTTCTCCGACGGAAATCTTGCGCTTGCTGAAGCGCTGGCACGAGTGGATCTTTCCACAGCTGTAGCATGTGCTTCTCGCCCTCCCCCTCTCGCATCTTCAAAAGAGGGGGGTTCCAGCAACCCCCTCCCTCCACTGGGTGCGGGTATTCCCACCCTCCCCCGGAGCCTTTCAAGAGTAGTCTTTCTCTAAGGGGCGGCCTCTGGACTGGGGTGGGCGGGAGTCGCGTCTCCCCAGGGAAGGGGTTCCTCTCAGAGGCCAGCACACCGCCCATCCTACAGCCCAGCCCAGCACCCCATCGCTCTCTCCGCCCCCCTTCAGCCGGTTACCTAGGCAAAGCCTCTGCGCCTGGAAACACGTTCCGTCGCTCCGGCTCGTGGCCGCTGGGGCCGGGAGCACAGAGCCTCGGGGTTGTAAATTAGGAAGAAATAACTACCTCTGTCAAAGCCCCTTTCTTTCTCGGGGGCAGACGAAGGGAACACCCCCGTGTTCCCCTCCCCGTGGTGAAGTGTGTGGAGGAAACCGTGAAACACACCATTGTGACCCGGGCTCCTCCGCGGAGTTTCCAACTCGGGGGACGGGGGCGGAGGTTGGGCGGGGGCAAGAGAGGTGGAGGAGAGACAGGCAGAAAGGGAAAGACTGAGATTCTCAGAAAGACCGAGGGAGCCAAGACAAACTCCGGGGGAGAATTTCTGTGAGCGAGTGCTGGGTCCCAGAGGAGGGGGGGGGGTCTGTACAGGGAGGGAGCTACGGCTCCAGGAGTTCTTGGCTTTCAGGTTATGCTTATTCGGTTAAAACAACTCCAATAAAGTAATTTCATTCATTGTGTTCAGTATGCGCGTTGAGCAGCTTTTCTTTCCCCAACTCGGTTCTATAGAAACATTTCCCGGTTGTTGGAAGAGGATCACTAGAATTGGAACAGCGAGGGAATGACTGAACCGAACCCAGTGACCTCTCTCCCAGCACCCAAGGCCCCAGGATAAGCAGCTCCAGAGTACTGATGACCACACTCCTCGCGGCTCTTCCCTCGGGAGAACCCGGGCACATAAACAAAAGGCCACCTCCAAGAACGTTCTTGGAAATCAAGGGACCAATGATCATGAGCTCCCTCATGACTGCCGGAAGCCTCCAACAGGTTCGAGATGTGCCTTTGAAAGCCAGTCTCCGCAGGCTGCGCTCGGCTGCTCAGCTCTCCCTCTCACCACCGAGAACTTTCCTTTCTACCAAAAGTAAAACATTTGGAGCAACTTCTCCGAAAGCGCGTTGAAAAGTAACGCAAGCCTTTTCCACACCAGCCAAGGCCTGGAGAAGAGGGACGCCGTCCCCACGCGTGTCGGGGCGCGAGAGTCGGCAATTACACCCGATTACCTCCGTGGGGAAAAGTGTAAACCAGCAAGTCCGCGACGCCAGGCAGACGTGCCTAGTGGAGCCCCAGGCTCATTTCAATACAATAAGCCACATTCCTACAATTACACCCTCTTTGCTGAGCTCCTTCAGCGCCTCTGCAAACTCCGGCCGCTGCTGCCCAGGCACCGTCCCTCCTAAGCTTTCTCCCAGACAACCAGCTCCGTTTCACCATTAGGCACATTAACTTGGACCCACCAGAGTCCCTATTTTCAATCCCACTTAAAAGGCAGGAAAATTACTGCCGTTCATCACCGGGGCTCCAACTCTCTGCCACCGCCGCCGCCGCCGCCGCCGCCGCCGAGAGCATCATTACCATGACAACTAGAGCCGAAATACCCTGAATTACAACGCTGGAGCTGCTACAGCACAAATCCAGGTCCTCCTCTTTGTTAGAGGCTTTTCGCCTCTTTGGGTGGGGAGAGGAATCTCACCCGCTCCAGAGTCCCCAAGGGCTAGCTACAGGGGAAAAGTTTCAGATTGGAACCCACCCGCCGCTTGGCGAGCAAAGCCGGAGTGGGGAGGCGAGTGTGGGGGGGGGGCACCCCACACTCAAAGTTGTCAATTTAAGGAGCGACGCTTCCCAGCGCGCCAACTTTTAAGCAAGTCCCCATATTAACTGGGCAAAGCATACGTACTTGGGTGCTGTGGCGGTTCCGTCTTTAGAGCGAGTTTCTAGAGAGCGGTCCCGAAATCTGGACTGGGGGAGAGTCACAGCTGTTGTCCCGGAAGGGCTGCGGTGCACAAGCCCAGCGGCTCCCAGAGGCGGTGAGCGGCTGGCGGGGGATGCTGCGATCCCAACTCATGGGAGAGCGCCGCCGAGAGGTTCCGCCGACGTCCAGTCTCCTGCCGCGACCCGGGGGTAGGATGTCGCTGCGGTTCCCACCTCCACGGCCACTGCCCGCTCTGTCAGCGTTGCAAAGTGAGCCCAGGAGGGGCGTCCGGCTGCGGCGCCGCGCGGCACCGGCGAGGGCGCCGGGCGAGAGGGGTGTGAGCGCGCGGGAGAGAGTGGAGTGTGTGCGAGGAGCGTGTGAGCGCGCGTGTGTCTGTGTGTGCGAGTGAAGGAGCGGGTGTGAGCGCGTCTGTGTATGGGGAACGGAGGAGGAGCAGGCGCTGGAGGGGTGGGGGGCGGGAGGCAGGAGACTCGGCTCTCCCGGCTGCGCGTTCGCTCGCTCTCTCGGCACGTCATTTATGCCACAGGAGCCCTAGCGGCCTCTCCATAGAGTGCCTGGAATGCGAGACGTCAATGTGACGCCATGGGACGCTACGTCACCCTCCTCCTCCCTCCCCTGGCCCAGCCGGTTCCGCGTGTGCGAGGGTGTGTGTGTGTGTGTGTGTGTGTGTGTGTGTGTGTGTGTGTGTGTGCGCGCGCGCGCGCGCGCGTTCCCCTGCCATTCGCACGGCCGCACAATGGAAACGGTGGGGAGCTGCGGACCCCAGCCCCAAGCCTTCTCCGACCCGCGCACCGGAGCCGCTCGCCAGGGCGCATGTCTACCGGAGGGTGCCGCAGCCAGCCTGCGGGTCAGGCGGACCGCCCAGCTGTCAGGCTCCGGGTGGAGTGGAGTTGGAGGAGTGCTGCTGGCTGGCCTCCGAGGCTGCCCCGAGGCACCGAGCCAGGTCGAGGGGGTAAGAGAGAGGACAGCTCTTCCGAAAGGGAAGGCTCCGCCAGCCAGCTTCTCCGAGTGACCTGGCAGTCGCTGCTGAAGGAGTCTGGCACCAGCCCCAAGACTCCCCGAGGTGCAGCTGTGCTTTCCTCATGCAATGGTTCGGAGGCTGTTTACGTCTCTCTGGCCCTCTGCGCCTAGGCTAATTTGCCGCCGCCGCCGCCTCCTCCTCCTCCTGTCTGTGGCCGGTGTTTCGCACTGGGATGCAGACGGCTCCAAGGACAAGATCTTTTTATTTCTTTACACTTATGGTGTGGGGTTCTTTACTGGACACTTTATAACCCAAAGAAGTGCACATCCAGCCACGCGCGCGCTGCACGAGAAACTATATATAAAACAAACACACCACACGTGTTGAACAGCTGAGCGAGTATGACTGTTAAACAGAGCGTCTCTCTTCCCCAGCACCGGGGCAGACATGGAACTCTACTCGCACTTTCACTTTTTTGAGGGTTGTAGACGTCTCCCCTCCCATCTCTCAAATGAAATATTTCAAAAATCAATCAACAGGATTCATTAATCTGTCTCTAGGGGATTTCCTATGGTCTCCTGGGACACATTTGTCTTCCTAGTTGTGCAGAAAGCCTGGGCAATTATATGAGGGACAGCAATTTCTTCTTGGAAATGAACTTAGGGTGTCACTTTCTCGCTGAAAACCAAAGAAAACAAAACAACAAAAACGTATCCAAGTTAAGAATTCTTAGAAAATAATTTTTACGAAGGAAATGTTTGAATGAAACAATGCAGACAGCTGCGGTCTCTAAGTGGCCTGCTAGAATCTCAAGTGGCATTTTCTTTCGACCTGTTCCCAACATTTGAGCGTGTGGGTGTCCAAGGTGGGGGGAAGAGGATCCCCTTGTCGTAGCACATGCTTCAGAATCGAAGCTAGGACCAGAAACTCGAAAAAAAAAACCAAAACCAAAACACCCTGTGCATCATGTGAAAGTCTACGCCTCCACTTTCACTTCAGCAGGCTAGTGTGCCTAAGACCAGGAGAGGACGCTCCAAAAGTTGCCCTAGCCGGCAGGAACCGAGCCCCCAGCCTGCGGGTGCGTTCCCATCCCCGCCCAGAAGGAAGGAGGGCGCTCCTACATTGTATCCATTCAAAGGCTGGGGGTTGGGAGAGCAGGACCTGGAGCCGCGCGGCGCTGACGCACGCGAGGCGCGTGATTGACGCAGGCGATGTTACTAAATTGGGCGGTTGGCCGGGCCCTGGCGGCGGCGCGCGCGGCCGATAGCGGAGTAGGTTCCCCTCGGTCACCCCCGCCCGTCTCCATTCAGCGCGGCGCGGCGCGGCGCGGGGCGGGGCGAGGCGGGGCGGGGCGGGACGCGCGCGGCCGCCTCGAATCCGGCGAACCAAATATAGACGGGTCCCGGCTATTTTTAGTGGGGCCGCGGGAGCGCGCTCGCGCCGCGAGAAGGGGCGCCCCGACCCGGCCCGGCGCGCGGACGGCCGAGTCGCCATCTTGTACTCGGCTCGACCCTGTCTGGTGCCGGGCGACGTGGGGGCGGAGGGCCGGGTGGGGTGGGGGGGTGCTGAAGGGAGGCGCGGGCGCGGGCGCGAGCGGGGCGCGCTGCTGCTGGGGGCGCGCTGCTGCTGGGGGCGCGCTGCTGCTGGGGGCGCGCGCGCGCGCTCTCCAGGCCGAGCGCGGTGATTGCCCCTCCACCCGCCCCGGCTCCGCCAGCCCCCGGGCCAGGAGGTCTCGCCACCGGGCCTGCCGGGCGGGCCCCGACTCGCGAAGGGGGCGGAGCTGCCCGCGGCCACCACTTCCTGAGAGCCGGGGATACCCATTCCGGACGTCACGGAGGAGCCGAGGCGGCGGTGGCATCATGGGTGCAGCAGCAGCTGCCCAGGTCCTTTGTGCCTCCCCCCCCCCCCCCCCCTCTATTGAGTAACTGCTTTGTTAACTGAAAATACCATGACGGACCAGTGTGATCACCAGTTCCAGACCTCAAAGAAAGTGAAGCTGTCAGGCAAGAAGAGGGAGACTCCCCCAGCCGGCTGCGATGGTATCTGGTGGGTGGGTGTGTAGAGAAGCACTTGACAGTTTTCCACGTATTACTTCTTGCCTAACTCTTCACCCTTAAGAAGGTTTAAAAATACTTTTATTTCCATGCTGTAAAAGTTTCGTCTGTGTTCTGCACCCCACCCATTCCCCTTCACTTTAAAAAATCTCATACAGAGCTGGAATCACCTTAACCAGGAACCCTAAAATCAGGTACAATTTTTAGGAGACATGACATCTTTCTATGGATTTATAGAATCCGTTACATTTGCTAACTTAATATGTGAAAAGTCCTTGCTCACTCAGGTTGTTATGAAGTCACTAACTGTGTTCACATGAATCGGAGGCTTTTGAGATTGGAGTTCACTTTGTTGCTCTAGCAGAGAAGCTAACCATTGTCATAGTTTACCACGTATATGATAATACCACTTGCATGTGTGTTGGTAATAAAAACCAACATCGTAGATGCCCCTGGATTGAAGAAGTATCCTCTCCCACTCTTAGTACTGAAGTGCTTAGGGTTTTATAAATAAAAACAGTGATTTTTTTTTTCTTCTTCTGAGCGGTAGTAGTGGAGGGGAAACCATCATCCTTGTTTACCTTAAAAAGATGAATTTCATTCTTAGCTAGCCCACACTCTCTAGGTATAGATTCTGTCTTTGAGTGAGTGCCTTTGGGACCTATCCTGGCTAATTTTGTGTTTTCTTTTATCTTTTCCTTCCTGGGGTTTAGTCAGATCACCAGGGGGCAGTTCCCTGATGCTCAGTTGGGATGAGCCAGTCTGCTGTTCCTGGCTGGGGCTCCTTAGAGTGGGAAGCTGGACTCACTAATGGAGAGTTTCCAGTGGTCACTGATAACTGACAAGTCTTTGAAACTCAAATGGAAAGTCATGGAAGTGGAGATAGGGCTCTCTTAGAGACTAGGACCCCCTCCTCTGCTTAATCAAAGGTCCCCAAGCGAATGCAGTTTTTTCCATGACCCAAACAGAATTTTCCTTTTTAAAAAGAAATATGTTCATAATCCATTCTTTCCTGCGTTTTAAAGGTCTGATTTATTACAAATAGGAAATACTATTCTATGAGGCCCATGCAATAATTTTTTTTTAGAAATATAAATTCCTTTTTTATTGCTAAGTGAAATTCAGTACTAGATACAGCTAAATCTCCAATTCTGAAAAACTAAATATGATAAGTATCTTAATCTGTGACATAATGAAAACATTCCAGGTTTGGTTCTTTTTCTAGGAAAAAGGACATTCATGCATGTTCTAGTTTGTACACATAAAGAAAGCAATTTCTACTTTTAGAACAGACAGTCTGTTAAAAACTTTCTATACAGTATAGATTTGTAAGATAACCATTTCATTTATTTCATTTTGCTGTAGATTTGTAGCTCTAAAGTGCCTGCAAGAAAGAAAGATACATTTCTCTTGCAAAATAAAATAATGGATTTGAGGAAATTTTGCGTGTGTGTGATATAAAGCAATTGTTTTAGCAAAGTAGGACTTAAAAAACCGCTCTAAGAAGAATGACATGTAATCTTGTTGATTTTGCAAATGTGTAAAGAATGATTACTGTTATAAATAAGGAAAGATGAAAAAGAAATATAATCCAGGAGCTGGGGAGATGGCTTAATGGGTAAGAGCACTTGCTATGCAAGCATGAAGACCAGGGTTTGAATTCCCAGCACCTGTGTTAAAAGCCACGCATGGCTTTGTGCCTGTAACTCAGCTTTTGGGGACACGAGACCTGCAGATCCTGGGAGCTTATTGACTAGCCAGTCTAGCCAATCCAGCTTGAAACTCTGCTCCTCTGAGAGAGACTCCACATGAATGTGCACCTATACATGTTCATGCAGCATACACGCACCTGTGTGCATTGTACACACACACACACACACACACACACACACACACACACACACACACTGAAATTGCAAGCCAGAACTTGTCACCTAAGAAAAATAAGTTTTGAATTTTATGTCCAAGTTTTCTAAAACCAATGCAGAGGTCCTATACTAAACACACACATGTACACACCAACAGGTATTTATAAAAATTCCAACTGACACACGACATTCTGTCTGTTTGTCTCTGTCTCTCTCCCTCTTCAGCTGTACCTGGATCAGGAATCCAGGACCACTGTAAACTTTTAAATCAATTCTATCAGTGTCAGATAAGTCTTCCTAAAATACATCTTTTGTATAATTACCCATGGCCTTAAAAGTCTTCAGCAGCTGGATTTTGTCTGCTCAAAGCCAAAAGGCCTATTATTTCTAGACTCCTCCTGTCATAGCCAGCCTGCTATCCTCTCTGTTCTTCACAGCCTTCAACACATTTGTTCATTCTCTCTCTCTCTCTTTTTTAATGGACACCCTTCTCCTTCTCCACTTATTGAAATCTTACACAGCCTCTAAAATGAGCTTATGAAGAACCAGACTGTGCTGGAGTCTTTCATAACATCCTTATTTTCCTGCTTTTTAATTCTCTTTTGCCCATGACTTACAGCCCTGTCATATCGCAAGCTTCAAAAACCTGCCTCACGCTTCTCCAAAATTTCTGTGGTACCCAAGAATGTTCACAGATAATAACTAGCCATAAGATATGCCATAGCTAACTTGAACGCAGAGACAGCTGCCACAGTCAGTTACATGGCAGAGATGTGGAGAGGGCATTTTTGGCGTGGATGGGTATATTTGAGGTCACTGGCGTTGTTTGCTTTACCTGAACTTTTCTTGTTTCCTGACTGAACACAGCTTGTCAAGGTGCCCGCCAGGAGCACAGACAGCTGCGTGGTGATACAAGGAAGTGGCAGTTTGGCTTGTTGCGTAGGAAGAAGCTTTGCTATGATCTTTTCTTTTCTTTCCTGGCAGACTTTTGGTTTGACTCTTACTGTGCTCTAAGTTCTTTCCTCTCTAAGTTCTTTCCTCTCTCTGTGTCTTTCTCGGATGCTGCTTTCAACAGTGAACTACAGGTGCCAGAGGCCTGCAGTCACTACTGCCCTTCTCCGGGGGAGGGGGGGGATGCTTTAATACCTGGAAAACTGGGAACGGTGATGGTGACATCTATGTTCAGTCAGTCAAATGCAAAACTTCTTGAATTTCTACCCTTTTCAAATGCTGAAGTAGACTTGTATGCCACTCTGTTATGTGGGGAGATGAAGAGGGCAAAGATTTGGGGATTACGATTCGTTAGAAGCTCCTGTGACTTAGAATCTTAGTTTTCTTTGTTAAAGTAAATCCTCCTTTAACACAGAAAAGGCAAGACAACAAATCAGGAAAACCTGATTTTATAGAAAAATTTCTAACATGTACAAACCTGAGATGGAGAGATTACTTTATAGTATAAGGGCTGATAATGTTTTACGGTCTCATTAATGGCTTCCCATCCACCTGTAATGCTAATGGCTAGGATAGCCTTGTAATCTGGTTTAAATGATAATTT